AATTATTAGGTTTTGACAGACTAGCCATGTCATTATGACCATGACACCCCTTCCCCAAGATTCATATTATGCGGTAACATTCAGAAAACATGTATACTGTAGTAGTTACACATTCTTTAAATAACATACTTTCGGTTATTGGTTTCACAATATGGTGCACACACTAAATCATTAATACAAAATATAATTTCCCATACACAAATAATTCACATATAACAATAAAATAGAATATCATTCACTATAGGTTATCTGAATTTTGGTCATTATGAAGTGGTAATCGGTTATCATACAATTAGAATGTGACACGGCAGGAACAATGACTGGAGAGGCAGGAACCAGGGCCGCCGCTTCCATTACGCGAGGTTAGCAAATGCTAAGGGCGCTAAAGATGCTAAGGGTGCCAACAGATAGTGTCACCACCACAGCTCCATTCTTCACAGCCAACAGATACAGTGTCACCACCACAGCTCCATTCTTCACAGCCAATAGATACAGTGTCACCACCACAGCTCCATTCTGCACAGCCAACAGATACAGTGTCACCACCACAGCTCCATTCTTCACAGCCAACAGATACAGTGTCACCACCACAGCTCCATTCTTCACAGCCAACAGTAACAGTGTCACCACCACAGCTCGAATGTGCTGCATCCAGGGCTGCACCTAAGAACATAAGGAGTCTGCAATAGGCTGGTTGGCCTGTGCATGGCAGCTCCTGTCGAGAGTTACTACCACTATCATCCATGAATCTATCTAGCCTCCTTTTGAAACTTTCCAGAGTTCCTGCACCACCCTATTTGTGAACCAGTTTCTTCCTATCTCCCTCCTAAACCTAAACTTATCCAACTTGAATCCGTTGCTCCGAGTCCTATCCTGCTCGGATATTATAAGAACTTTATCTATATCCCTTTATTGATTCCTTTCACCTACTTAAATACTTCTATCATATCTCCCTGCACTCTTCGTCTTTCTAGGGAATGCAAGTTAAGTTTCTTTAACCTATCCTGATATGGAAGGTTTCCAAGTCCCGGAATCATTTATGTCATTCTTCGCTGCACCGACTCAAGTGAATTTATATCCATTCTATAATAGGGGCACCAGAACTGAACCGCATAATCGAAGTGCGGTCTGACTAGCGCAAGATATAGTTGCAATAAGACCTCTGCACTCTTGTTACTTACACTTCTAGATATAAAACCCAATACTCTGTTTGCCTTATTTCGAACATTAGCGCACTGTTTTCTAGGCCGTAGGTCCGGGCTTACAGGTACCCCTAGGTCTCTTTCACAAGTCGACTTCTCTAGGTTGATGTTAAGGCTGTATACATTATAAGTATATGTTCTTCCAATATTAAGTACGCTGCACTTGCTGGTGTTAAATTTCATTTGCCATTTTTCAGACCACCCCTGCAGTATATTTAGATCCTTCTGTAATGCATTTGCATCCTGCCCTGAATTAATTTGCCGCCCTATTATGGTGTCATCCGCAAACTTGCTTATGTCACTGCTGATCCCAGTATCTAGATCGTTTCTGTAGATTATGAACAAGAGTGGGCCTAGTACTGACCCCTGGGGAACCCCACTGGTTACACGGCCCCACTCAGATTTAACACCAACTACGCTGACCCTCTGAGTTCTATCGGTGAGCCATGATTTTATCCAATTTAAAACTTTCCCCTCGATACCATGAGCCTTAATTTTTCTCAGAAGCCTCTGATGCGGTGCTCTGTCAAATGCTTTGCTAAAGTCTAAGTAAATAACATCGTAATTTTCGTCATTATCTACTACCTCGAAGACTTTCCTAAAAAACGTTAGCAGATTTGTTAGACAAGATTTTCCCTTTGTAAACCCATATTGAGAGTCGTAGATTAAGGTTGCACTTGTTGACCGTACCGACTGGCCATCCTCAATGTCCAACCAGGCAGAACTTGTTCGCAGAGGACCTTACAAGTTGATCTTAAATATGTGTTTCCAAAAAAGGATGGGAGAAGATGTCAACATGATTACTTTCGCCGAATCTTAGTAAATGGAGAGAAGATCCAAAGAAGTTGGCTAATGTATTTGGTGAAACAGGATAAACTTTTTTGCTTCTGTTGTAAAATGTTTTCTACAAAACATGTTAGAATGGCTGAAGAAGGCATCAATGATTGAAAAAATGCTAGTCATTTGCTCAGCACACATGAAAGTAGCATAGAACACACTAAAAACATGACAACATAGAAGGAACTGGAGGTCAACATTGCAAGAGGAAGGACGATAGACAGACGGGAAATGGAAATGTTAATGGCTGAGTGGAACGGGTGGCGCCAAGTCCTCACTAGACTAATGGCGATTATTCAGTCTCTAGCTGAAAGCAATTTGGCTCTAGAGGGTCAACCGAAAAACTTAACTGTCAATCCAATGGTATTTTTCTCCAAGAAGTGGAACTTTTGGTTAAATTTGATCGTTATGGAGAATCATTTAAGTAGGGTTGAAAGTAATGCAGGCAATCACAGTCACACTCACTACCTTGTCCAAATGATCCAAAATGAACTGATTAACATTATCAGTGCAAAGATTACTGAGAGAATCATGGACGATATCAAAGCATCGAAATACTTCTCAATTTTAGACTGCACCCCTGATTTGAGTCACAAAGAGCAACTTTCTTGAAGACAAGCCAACAATAAAGGCGCATTTCTTGGGGTTCCTTGCGGGAGAGAAGTCTACAGGGCTAAATTTGTCATGACTTCTACTCGGAAGACAAACAAATGAACATTTCTTTTGAGGATTATCGAGGTCAATCCTACGACAATGAAGCAAATATGAGAGGAAACATCAAAGGAGTTCAAGCCAGGCTTCTTCAACAGAATTCTCGGGCCTTATTTGATCCTTGTGGTGCCCATAATTTGAATTTGATATTAGGCGACGCTGCCAAGAGCTCCCTAAATGCAACTTGTTACTTTGGATATTTAACGAAAGTATTCACATTGTTTTCAGTCTCTCCTCAGAGGTGGCAAGTTCTTTTAAAACATGTTAATATTAATCTGGAACCGTGGTCAGACGTCAGATGGGAAAGCCGAGTAAAAAGTGTGGAGGCAATTAGATATCAACCTGCGCAAATCAAAGAAGCGCTTTTGGAGCACAGAGAATCTGCAACTGACCCTGTCGTCAAAGTTGAGGCTTAATCGTTGGCAGAGGAAGTAGGGTCATACCGTTTTGTCATTTGTTCAGTTGTGTGGTAGGATATACTCAGCAAAATTCAGCACGTGAGCAAACTAATGCAGTCGAGTACGATACAGCTCAGCGTGGCTGTAGATCTGCTCAAAAAGACCAGAGATGATATTGTCAGCTACAGAAATACATGTTTTGCTGATGCACTAACTATTGCTAAAGAAATCTGTGAAGCGATGAGCGTAGACACGGTGCTGAAACAGAAGAGACTAAGAACTAAAAAATGTCACTTTAGCTATGAGTGTGCAGACAAACCTGTCAGCGATGTACTCAAGAGGATGGAGACTACATTTTTCAATGTGGTAGTGGATACTGTGATTTCCTCTCTTAATGAGAGGTTCAAGACCTTGGGCGAGGTGAATGAAAAGTTCAAGGTATTGTTGGGGTTCACCGACATGTCTGACAAAGATATTGTCGATCACTGCCAAACCCTCAGCAACACGCTTACTCATGGGGGAAACTCAGACATTGATGGAAGGGAACTGGCCATGGAGCTGCAGTGTCTCCCAGATTTGCCTTCCAAGAGAATGACAATGGATTTTCTCACCTTCCTGCATGAAAAGAAACTTACTGAAGTATTCCCGAACTTGTGGGTAGCTCTGCGGATTTGTGCAACTCTCCCTGTAACGGTGTCGGCAGCAGAGCGGAGCTTTTCTAAGTTAAAACTGATAAAAACTTATTTGCGATCCACAATGGCGCAGGAACATCTTAGTGAGTTGGCCATCATCAGTGTGAACATTGCAGTGTCTAGACTCTCTAGTTATCGTATGACGATGTAATCGACGAATTCGCTTCCAGGAATCAAGTTAACGGTTATAAGCAGGCACGTAGCGAAAACGAGAAAACGGCGGAATCCAGAATGTCATGACATGTTAATTGAATTGCTTAATGTTTAAATACAATAGTAGTTTGATTTTGAGTGTTTCTTTACAGTCACTTTTCATGCCATTATTGCATTGTGCTTAAGAGTATTTGCTAATTAATGTATGTATTAGCAAATTAAAATAGATCAGTGTAAGGTAAACAGTTTCTTCAATATGGTACCTGGATTACTTTGTGGGCAAACCCAATCGTTAAGTGGGAGGCGGGTGGGGACGCCAGCTGCAGTCCTGCTAAGGGCGCCAAATAGGCTGGCGCCGGCCCTGGCAGAAACAATGACTGGTGAGGCAGGAGCATTCACTGGTGAGGCAGGAACAATGACTGGTGAGGCATAGTTGATGGCCCTAGGGTTGGAACAGGGAAAACTGCAAACAGTCAGTATAAGGTAGGTCACTGCTGCCGTTTGATTTTTAGACATCCAAAGGAGATTGAGCAATGGTATCAATGGGAGTGCATACAACTGTATAAATCAATAAATATTCTCACCTAACTGCACATTCCACAAGGAATTATTTCTTCATCTACTGGGTGATTGCGGAAAGTCTCGTAAAAATCATCAGCCACTGCTAACTCGGCCCTCAAGTTTTCGGTCTTTTATATCTCTGTTTTTATATTTCTGAAAGAAAGAGAAGAAATTAATGCTGTATAGCAATAGCAACAGCATTGGCTTTTATAATGCTTTCATCACCAATGCCTATGAGCAAAGGGGATGCAGAACAGACTAATATCATTTACTGTACATATATGCATCACAAAAGAAATATATGACGGTTTTGTAGAATTTTACAATACAGCAATATTTAAAGGGCCTGTAGACAGTTTTAAAACCTATAAATTTGCCATTAAAAATTGAGTACAGAAACATGGTTATACTTTACGATGCTGTTGTGCACTTACATCAGTAGATCGAAAACAAACAAACAAAACATTTTTTGAAGTAGGCCTTAAATACTGTAGGCTACAGTCATATCTGCAAAAAAATTATTATATGATAATATATATAGATATGAGGATTTGTATGCTTCTGACAAGTCTTTTGAGGTGACCCTTCAAAAATTGAACAGACCTGTTTGAAACTTGTCTTGCCAGAATATTTGGGCTTGCCAGGTGTGTGGGGGAACCAGCCCCAGACTTGCACATTTTTCTTGGTGCACGTCGTGGTCGTAAAATGTTGCTATATAGAGTTATATGCTGCATAGCTTGGGTCTAGGACAATTGGCCCCCCCCATTGCCAGTGAGTAACTGGCACAAAACATGGAAATAACCTAACTAACTTGAAATAGCCTAGCCTAGCCTTACCTAACAAAATATTAAATATGACCGATCTACAATTTTTTTTCACTTGACCATAAATTATGAGTCGTCATTTTGTGTATATAATTATTACAAAAAAAAGCATGAAAATATAGCACTATATCTTAGTGTTCCATGATTGTGTCAGTTATTCACTGGCAAGGAAGGGGGGGGAGTAATTGTCCAGAGGGCAGTTGTCCTATGGGGGGGGGAGGGGGGTAATTGTTCTGAAACCATATAGCTTGTATATAGTCAGGGTAAAATTGGCATTACAGATTTCAAAACAAGAGAAACCTAAAAGTATGGCAGATACCATTTACTGTTATACCTCCATACCAGTACCTTCCTATGAATTCACATTTTTATCAGATAACTTAAATACTCTAATCCTACTTAATTTAGTAACCTAATGGAAAAACACCGTACATTAATAAGCATATACTTTACTTCCTTTTTAAGTGTCCGTAGCTCCTCTTGAGCTGCTTGGCTGTGCGAGGGAGTTGGTCAGAGTTGCTGGCGTTGAATGAGGCAGCAATTTCACCCCAGGCCTCTCTTTTCCGCATTTATTGTGTTGCTAGTAGACCTGCTATGCGCTGGGTAACGGATGCTTGGTCAAGGTCACCTACTACAAGGCGAAACACGCCCGTTGGACGACGGCGTGTGTGTGGGGGCGCGCCCAAACATTTTTGGGCCGCTCCACCCACCCAACCGAGGTGGCGACGTGTGCGCCCAGAGAAGCGTGCGCCGACGAGTCGGCATGCCGCTCATTATTTGGCGTGAAGTTTGAGTGGGGCAGTATATCTATCAAATGTTAACGCAGGTGCCCCAAGACTAGCTCAACCTTTATCATTTGTGGGGACATGGGCTCAAGCGGGTGGGACCCACTATCATCAATTGTTAGGTGAGGATAGAATGGATCACCCTGTTTGCTTCGAGTTTGTGGCAAGAACTATTCTTAGTTTGCTCGAGTACTAGAATGAGACATGCACCCCGGTCATGTTGAACCACGAGCTGTTATCGCATTGACTGGTGGAATAAATCTCGGTCAAGACACGATGGGCCACTGCATTGAAGGCTGCAGCATATGCTGTGACGGAAACTGTAATGGCTACGTGCACGCCCAGAGAAAAACTGCTGGAACGTGTTCGCCCAGAGAAGCGTGGCGACGTGCGCGCCCAGAGAAGCGTGGCGACGTGCGCGCCCAGAGAAGCGTGGCGACGTGCGCGCCCAGAGAAGCGTGGCGACGTGCGCACACAGAGAAGCGTGGCGACGTGTGCGCCGAGAGACCAAAGCGTGTGAGGCTTTGATTTCTCATGGACTAATCAGGAGTATTAATTAGTCAGCTCAGCCTGCAATCCTGAGGCGCTTGAAAGGCCTGGGCAGACCCCCAACCAACCACCCCGACCGCGCTCGCGCGGCAATACGCCGGGTGAGACCCTGGGGGTCTCAACCCGGCAAACGCCGCGCGGGCGTGGCCAGAGGCAGCCGGTTGAGGATCTGCCCAGGACGCACCAGGCGTCCGTTGCCCTCATCTCGCCTTCAGGCTCAGTGAGCCCATCGACTCCCACACACGCTAGACTCCGTGGTCCGTGTTCCGAGGTGGGTCGGGTGGATCACCGACCCTCTGCACGTCGCGAGAGCGAACCCCCACAGTCGAGGTGGAGGCGGCGCTCTTCTCTACGACTGTCGTAGGACAGCCAGGATACTGGCGGTTGCCCCCAGTCGTGCGGAACTCCCCCCTCCCCCCCCACTCAGACGAGCTGAGAGAGTCGGTAGTGGGGTGCCAATCCGACAGAACCTTCGACGTCCCCTGCTACTGGTCGCGGTCACCTACTACAAGGCGAAACACGCCCGTTGGACGACGGCATGTGTGGGGGCGCGCCCAAACATTTTTGGGTCGCTCCACCCACACAGCCGCATACAAGCTGAGGTGGCGACGTGCGCGCCCAGAGAAGCGCGGCGACGTGTGCGCCCAGAGAAGCGCGGCGACGTGTGCGCCCAGAGAAGCGCGGCGACGTGTGCGTCCAGAGAAGCGCGGCGACGTGTGCGCCCAGAAAAGCGCGGCAACTTGAGCAAAATATTAGCCGCTATACTTCCGACGGCTTTTTTAACTTAAGAAATTTTTTGACAAAATAAATTAATGTAGATTTATTTACTTTAAATCAAATTATTTAATTGTAAAATGTAAGAAAATAAATTTCTAACAGCATGTATATACTTTTATCCTATTCACCACTGATTGGCTTGTTAGCCGCTTGGACGATTGGTCACGTCTGTTACGCATGCCCAGGCTCCTGAATGTACCTGAACCTGCTCCAGTGTTGGTGAGGCAGGAGCAAGGACTGGTGAGGCAGGAACAATGACTGGTGAAGCAACAATGACTGGTGAGGCAGGAGCATTCACTGGTGAGGTAGGAGCATTCACTGTCGAGGCAGGAACAATGACTGGTGAGCACAGTTGATGGCCCTGGGGTTGGAACAGGCAAAACTGCAAAAAGTCAGTATAAGGTAGGTCACTGCTGCCGTTTGATTTTTACACAGCCAAAGGCGATTGAGCAATGGTATCAATGAGAATGCATACAACTGTATAAATCAATAAATATTCTCGCCTATCTGCACATTCTATAAGGAATTATTTCTTCATCTACTGGGTGACTGCGGAAGGTCTCGTAAAAATCACCAGCCACTGCTAACTCGGCCCTCATCAGTGATGCTGTTAAGGCAGTTTCTTCTGAAGCTTTTAATATTTTTTTCTCGTGGACCACCACCTGTCTTTTTAAGCTTTCGGTCTTCTATATCTCTGTTTTTATAGTTCTGAAAGAAACAGAAGAAATTAATGCTGTATAACAATAGCAGCAGCATTGGCTTATATAATGCTTTCATCACCAATGCCTATGGCCAAAGGGGATGCAGAACAGACTAATATCATTTACTGTACATATATGCATCACAAAAGAAATATATGACGGTTTTGTAGGATTTTACAATACAGTAATATTCAAAGAGTGTATATAGTTTAAAAAATGTAAATTTGCCATAAAAATGGAGTACAAAAACATGGTTATACTTTACGATGCTGTTGTGCACTTACATCAGTTGATCGAAAACACAGAAAAAACATTTTGAAGTAGGCCTAAAATACTGTAGGCTAGTCACAAGGCTACAGTCATACCTGGCAATGCTGCCAATTTTAATTCTGACTTTACATAAGCTTATATGGGTTTCAGAACAATTACTCCCCTCCCCATAGACAACAGCCCTCTGGACACCACTTCTTCCTTGCTGTGCGAATAACTGACATAACTGGGCGGAACACTAAGATATAGTGCTATATTTTCATGTTTTTTTTTTGTAATAATTATACAGTATACACAAAATGACGACTCATAATTTATGGTCAAGTGAAAAAAAATTGTAGATCGGTCATATTTAACATTTTGTTAGGTAAGGCTAGGCTAGGCTAGGCTATTTCAAGTTAAGTTAGGTTATTTCCATGTTTTGTGCCAGTTACTTACTGGCAATTGTCCTAGACCCAAGCTATGTAGCATATTAATATATATAGCAACATTTTACGACCACGACGTGCACCAAGAAAAATGTGCAAGTCTGGGGCTGGTTCCCCCACACACCTGGCAAGCCCAAATATTCTGGCAAGACAAGTTTCAAACAGGTCTGTTCAATTTTTGAAGGGTCACCTCAAAAGACTTCTCAGAAGCATACAAATCCTCATATCTATATATATTATCATATAATAATTTTTTTGCAGATATGACTGTAGCCTACAGTATTTAAGGCCTACTTCAAAAATGTTTTGTTTATTTGTTTTCGATCTACTGGATGGGGTGCACAACAGCATCGTAAAGTATAACCATGTTTCTGTAATTAATTTTTAATGGCAAATTTACAGGTTTTAAAACTGTCTACAGGCCTTTTTAAATATTGCTGCATGTAAAATTCTACAAAACCGTCAATATATTTCTTTTGTGATGCATATATGTACAGTAAATATATTAGTTTGTTCTGCATTCCCTTTGCCTTAAGTAGGGCATTGGTGATGAAAGTATTATAAAAAGCCAATGCTGTTGCTATTGCTATACAGCATTAATTTCTTCTCTTTCTTTCAGAAATATAAAAACAGAGATATAAAAGACCGAAAACTTGAGGGCCGAGTTAGCAGTGGCTGATGATTTTTACGAGACTTTCCGCAATCATCCAGTAGATGAAGAAATAATTCCTTGTGGAATGTGCAGGTAGGTGAGAATATTTATTGATTTATACAGTTGTATGCACTCCCATTGCTCAATCTCCTTTGGATGTCTAAAAATCAAACGGCTGCTTGGCTGTGCGAGGGAGTTGGTCAGAGTTGCTGGCGTTGAATGAGACAGCAATTTCACCCCAGGCCTCTCTTTTCCGCATTTATTGTGTTGCTAGTAGACCTG